CTGGCTTGAGGTAGTATTTTGCAGCTTGCACTTCTAGTTTTTTAAAAAAGGCAAAACCAAACACAAACACTGGGGCTCCTACTCAAACTTCCTGAAGTCCTGCACTAAGTGCTTTAAAAATGCCTGGTGCTGTGGCTTTTCTGAAGCTAAGTGGGGGTGAATCTTGTCAGCCATTGCAAGCCTCATATACAAACCATGACTGGATGGGTTGGTTTTTCTTTTTTATGCTTGATCATGTAGGACAGTTACGGACTGCTCCAAGCATGCACAGATTCTGGAGGGGTGAACAATAAAGGGGAAAAAAGGATCGGTTGTTGTGATGTGCCATCAAGTCATCTCCAAATTATGGGCACCCTATGCATAAAAGACCCTTCAAAATGTCCTAGGCATGAAAGCCCTGCTCAACTCTTCTACGTTCAAGGCTGTGGCTTCCAAAAAGATTAGAACACATATTAAAAACAGAGCATCATTAAAGAGAGTATCCATAACAAGGGTTGTTCGTCAACTAAGGAAGGCTTCCTGATCTCAAGACGCTTCAGGAGGTGTGGGAAAGAACACCGTGGTGGAACCTGCCCGGCACCCGGACTTCCACAGAGAGGGGGCCACCACACTGACGGCTCTGCGGGCGGGGGGAGGGGTCGGGGGCGCTCCAAGCAGGCCACAGGGGGCGCCTTCTGATGACCCCAGTGAGCAGGCAGATGGTCTCTTTTTAAATACAAATGTATTCACTGCAACTTCACGCCCCTCCGCCCAGGCACGAATAGAACCTGTCCCGGATTTCTCCCCCTCCGAACCCCGAGCTCTTTCCCCTCCTGTTGCTGCCGCCTTGCCCAGGGACATCCAGCCCACCCGCTGCCCTTTCCCGCCTCTTCCGAGGACACAAACGCTCGTGGTAGTTCGTAGCCCTGCAGTCTCTCTTTCCTGCAGCCTCATTTACCTGCGATCTCGACGCTCCAGCTGCTCAGGGGTTCAGAGCTGCAGCCTTCCCGCGGCGGGCGGCGGGGGGGTGGCGGCGACTAGAGCGCTGTTGGCTCCCGGGACCTCGGCAGAGCTCCGGGAAGGCCGGACTGGGGTGGGAGGAATCGAGGCTGGCGGGTTGCGGGCGCCTTCTGGGGAGGAGGGTCCCGGCGCTGGATCAGCCGCCGCCCCCTCCTCGCCGCCGCCCCGAGCCCGCAGCGCCGAGCCCGCAGCCGAGCAGCCTCGGCCGGCCCCGCCCCCCGGCTGGCCCCGCCCCCCGGCTCTCCCAGGCGGGCAGCGGCGGGCTCGCTCCGAGCACCCGGGGGGCCCCGCCCCCCCCCCCCCCGGGGGCCGGCGGGGGGGGCCCCCCCCCCCCCCCGCCGTGCTGGCTGGGTTGGAGAGGCAGCCTGCTATTCGTGCAAGCAGCCAATACCCAAAGTACGCGGCGGCGGCGGCCAGGAGAGGAGGTCGGGGCGCCCCGATGGAAGCCAAAGCCTCTCTCCGGGGCCTCCCCCCGTGTCGGCGAGGTCGCGGCCGCCGGCTTTCCACCAGCACCAACGCAAGAGGCGCGGAGCGCGCCCCTCGCCTCTGCCCGGCGATCGGAGCAGTGAGCAGTCCGAGGGGGATCACGAACACGCCTCAGGTCGCGCTCACGATAGGAGGGAGAGCCGTCCAACTGGGCGATTTCCACAGTGCGAGTCTGCAGGGTTTCGAATCCACGTGAAAGCCAGTTCACACAATATCTGGGGGCAGTCCCGCATCCGTGGTAGGCTCACATGTGCGCACCCTTCTCTCTTCATGTGCGCACAGTCTCATGATGCCGAAGGCAATCCTGGCCCATCTTCACTCCAGTGTCTCTTTTAAACAGGCAATTGTTCTTGCAGTAGCTTGAAATGAGCATTGACATGCTGAAAGCAGGGGCTGTGGAAATGTGCATGTTTATTTTGGTTCATTCCCAAAAGAGCTGCAAACATCCTTGCATTGGTGGGTTAATTAATTGACACACAGCCTTATTTAAAACACACAAAACCCCTTCCTATGCAACCCACAGGAAACAGATTTAAACTGATGATGGATTGTAGCTTAACCATTTAGAGTTGAAATACGTATTCCCTTGGCTCCTGTAAGACAGGGCCTTAACGCGTGGGCCTGATGGGCGCTAGCCGGTGGGCCCCATACTAATCTGTGTATGTTAACCCTTGGAAAATTGGAAAACTTCCAAAATTAACAGTCGTCGTAGTTGTTGTAGGGGCCCCAGGACACTGCTTTGCCCGGGGCCCATAATGCTGTTAAGATGGCCCTGCTGTAAGGTCAGGGGCAGACTGAGGCTGCAGTATTTTCTCATGGGTTTTTGAATATTGCAATTTCCCTTATCACATTTGTGTCGATTTATTCTTAGTAATTGGCCTGTTTGTTCTGCAAGGAATATCCCAGGGCTGGCTTATGTTTTAAGGACATACTTTAGGATTTTGCTGTGGCAGGCTAACATGACTTCGCCACTGGAAATTTTAAAAGGGAGCTTCTTCTCCAACTATTTTTTCCTATATGATCAGATAACTGCTCTTTGTTTGATTTAGGGTTTTATTTGTTTTAGTGAAGTTTTAAAAACTCTTCTCCTGTACCTTTAACAGCCATCGCACTTACATACATACAAGTAGTAAGTCCTACCAAGTTTTTCTTGGTAGGAAAATAAAGTGATGGGGAAAAGCTATACTTTCCTCAATTCTGTATATTATACATAGTTCAGGACATTTTTAAACCTAGCAGATAATTCTAGGTGTGCATTAACAGAGCTAGAGACCCTTAAATACAAATATTCATACCAGCATCTTTAGCTCCTTAATGATTCATGAATATATAGCTGTTAATTCACACCACAACTTTACTTCTGTTAAACTTTTCCACGTTGCTTTCTTCATACTCTCATTCCACCATTAAATATATATAAGTTATGCTTATTTGCAAAAGCAAGTCTTAAAACTGATTTGAACCTTGCATTTTTACTTGCAATACTGTGTATCACCTTTCTCTTTCATAGACACAGAAGCAATGTCATTCTCCAATGAACCCCTATGATATACATGAAATGGAGGTTGCTGAATGCATGTTGGTACCAGTTCATTTATGTGATTTCTTAGGATGTCTGGGCATCATCGCCATCCTTTACTCATCATCCCATATTTTATCTTCCCTTTGTTTTTGTTTTCCTCATAAGGGGGGGAGATCAATTTGGCCTGCAAAAACCACTTCAGAAGCACAATTCTCAAAGATATTGGCATTCTCTTGCATTCTGCTGCCTGCAGGTTTTGTGCAGGGGTGTCCTCTTTAGAGATTTTGCCCCCAACCAAGTCAGAACTTTTAGATTTAACACCTTCCTGGACTTAAGAAACTACCTGTAATGCAACACTGTTTCTTCCTTTTATGTCTGCCACTTTAAGAGATGCCCACTTAATTAATTTAGACACCAGTTCACCAACATCACAACCCCGCCCAGGGGAAGAGGCTTATATAGCTGACCCCACCTGAGTGGAGGCTCTCCTTCGAAGAGCCCCAGTAGAAGCTGGCTGGCAGAGGGGAAGCAGTGGCCATAGCAGAAGTGGTGAGTTTAGTATGAATATTGTCTGCATGAGATTTTTTGGGGATGAGGATCTTCAGAAAATAAACACTTCTCGCTTTTTTGGTCAAGGATGTTATATTATTAATTAATTACTGTTTCTGCATATAATCATAGCAAACTATATGCTAACAAATGCTTTTACCAAATGTTCTTGCTTTTGCTCTCTCTCCTGGTTTGTTCCCTGCTAAGGCACTGTGGCTTGGGATTTCTTCTTTGCCCAGTTATTCTCTTCACTCTAAAAGTTCCCTGTCTCCCCCTCCCTCCCCTCAGGTGTGTTGTCAGCAGCTGTTAAAAGTGCACAGGTGTGTCTTTTACTGCAATATTCTGTGCAGGACCAGCCTCCACTGTAGAGGCTGTACCTACCATGCAGTTACTAGAGAAGGGTGGCTAAATTGTGACCCCAGACATGTTTTGACTTACAACGCTATGGAAGGGCTGCTGCAAGTTGTAGACCTACCTGTGGCATAGGAAGAGCTGGACCTTGGAGCCCAAGTCCAGGGCCCTGCAGCCCAGCCTCTCCTGCCCCCAAAACACCACCAGAGGGCAGCACATGCTGAGGGCATCAACATAGCAGAAGGAAGCTCTGTGGACATGATGAGGCTATGATTTAAGTTAGTGTAAATGCAAAACCATACATATTCAGAATATTTCCTTTGAATTGTTATCAGGGCTGGCAAACTTCTGTTTTGTTTTAAGAAATCAGGAATGTAAAAACAGGTGAAAACTGGAGTGGAGGTGCAGGGAGTGGAAGAAGAAAAAACTAGTTGTGTGAATATATATGGTCATCTAAAGCCCCTGCCCTGTACATCTGGTGCTTAAAATTGCACAGCCACACCACTGAATACAAGGTATCTGGAGGACCACAAGTTGCCTACACCTGTGTGCTAAAGTCATGGGGCCCTGAAAGGGATTGGTGACCCTTGATGCAAGTACTCCAAAGCTGTTCTGGGGGAATATCTCCCTCCTGAGTGGAAGGCACACAGATAACTGACTTGCTCTCTCATGGTCTCTGTGTTCTTACAAATATGCAGAGTCCCTGTTTCCTGTAAGGGCTGGTTTGTTGCTGCATCGACTTAGCTTAGAGTTGATTGGAAGGATTCTTCCTCAAAAAGTTTATTTGCAGAAGAGCAGGCATTGTGTACATGCTTGGAGGCACTCATGTACCGCAACACAGGAAAGGAAACCTTGACAGCCCTGCCTTTCAAGGCCTAGATGGATAGCAGCCTGGCATGTGAAGTTTATCCATTACTTGATCAGTGTTGGGAAAAGCTTCACCTGCTGGATTTCTAACTCCCAGGCAGTGCTAAAAGTCATAGAAGCCCCACCAGGGGAGAAAATGAAGGCAGGTCTGTTGCTCTCCCCTCCATAACTTGGCTCATGTCTTGGCTTGAAATACAGATTCTCTCTTCTTGTCTTTCAGCCGGCAATGGCACCACCTAGAAATGAAGCACGACCCCAGGGAACTTGCCGTGCCAAGACTGCATCTGTTCTTGCCTTTGTCCAGCCAGTTCAGAAGAGCTACCAATGTCTGGAGTGTGGGAAGACTTTCAGCCGAGGCCCAAGCCTATTAACTCATCAGAGAATCCACACGGGTGAGAGGCCTTACCAGTGCCCAAAGTGTGGAAAGGGTTTTACCCAGCAGTCAAGTCTCACTATTCACCTGAGAATCCACACGGGTGAGAGGCCTTACCAGTGCCCAAAGTGTGGGAAGGGTTTTACCCAGCAGTCAAGTCTCACTATTCACCTGAGAATCCACACAGGGGAGAGCCCCTATCCCTGCCCGGAGTGTGGGAGGCGCTTCCGGCAGAGCTCGAATCTCCTCAAGCATAAGCAGCTCCATGCGGGGGTGAGGCCCCACCTGTGTGCTGAATGTGGGAAGAGCTTTGCTCAGCGCTCAAACCTCCTCATCCACCAGCGGATCCATACAGGAGAGATGCCCTACCTCTGCTCTGAATGCGGGCAAATGTTCAGGCAGCATCGTAGCCTGCTCATCCACCAGAGATTCCACAAAGGATATGGCTCTGCTGGCTACGTTTGCCCCGAGTGTGAGAAAAGCTTCACACAGAGCTCGGACCTAGTGAAGCACCTGCGAATCCACACCGGGGAGATGCCCTACAGCTGCCGGCACTGTGGGAGAAACTTCCGGTATGTCTCGAACCTCAATCGGCACAAGCGGACTCACACGGGGGAGAAGCCCCACGCTTGCCGAGAGTGTGGCGAATGCTTCAGCCACTTGTCCAGCCGCAATACACACGAGATGATTCACACAGGCAAGAGGCCTTTTGAGTGTGCTGAATGTGGGAAGATGTTTGTGTCCAGCTCAAAGCTCTCTAGACACCTGAGAACCCACACAAAGCAGACCTCCTATATCTGCAGCAAGTGTGGGCAAAGCTTCCACCACCATCCAAACCTGGTTAAACACCAGCAACTCCACAAGGCTCGGAGCTCCCGCTCAAGACGGAAAGGGAAGTGAAAGAACGAGCCAGCTTTGCCTGGCTGAGCTCTGTGGCCTGCCCTCTCCATCAGGTAACTCCGTGTGTGGGTGTACTGCAGAAGGGAGCAGCCTGGGAGCCCCAGCTTGGAGAGTGGGAGCAGGGAACCCCCAGAGAGAGTTTTCAACACCGGTCCCCTCTGCAGTCCCCAAGAGCAGCCATCCTGACCAGCTGCCCTCCACATTTGTTGGATTAGGATTCCTGGCACGCCCTGCGTGGGTCACAGCAAGAGGTGCTGCAGGTCAGCGGCAATACTGGCTGGAGGATGCTGGGAGGTGCCCTCACAGCCATCTGGAGGGCACCCTGTGAGGGAAGGCCGGCCTTCAGAGGGAGCCGTGCCTGTTACAACTGGTGTAAAACCAGTACAGGCATGTTGCATATCGAGTGTGTTGGTGGCTGTGCAAGACACTCCGTCTGCAGTCTGCCTTTCCTGCAGCTCTGCCCGTGGGCACACCTGTGGGCCACTGCAGTGGCAGAACAAATCGCTCCCCAAATGTCACTAGAGTCCCGAGGCTGACCAGATCACACCCAAGGCCGGACTGAGCCAGACTTCCTTTCCTACAGTGGCCAGCCAGGCGCTCATGCCCACCCTTGTGTTCCCAAGCAAGTTGTGTTTGGGGCAGGCTGCTCTGGTATTGTAGATACTAGATCACTCCCATGCCTTGCAGCTGGGGCTGGTCTTATCCTCCATAAAGCCGTCTGGTTGGTAGCCATCGCTAGGTGGCATCATTATTTCCACTTTTATACCACCCCACAGCCAAAGCTCTCTCCCCGGGAGTGTGTGTGAAGTTCTTGGGGATTCAGGGTTGGATGAAATTGGCCCCAACTGTGTTGATCATTTGTGTGGTGTTCCTCTAAGCTCTAATCCCACACTGGGTGAGCAGAGGTCAAAGATACAAGAGCCTTGCCCTCTTTTTGATAGCTGTTTAATGGTCATGCCAACCTCCTTTTTCTGTAATACATGCAGGCATAAGAGGCACATTCTGAGACATTTCATTGATTATGAATCAGCCTATGGATAGTCAAAGCCATAATGAAATATGCTACCGATGCAAACTGTTAAGCCTAAAAGGAGCGCCAGAAGCATGGTTTGTTCTGTCCAGTTTCTTTTTTTCTTGGCCCACTCACTGACATGGCTTGTTTGAACTATGTTGCATTTATAGCCCAACCCTTTTTCTTGTGAAGAACCCATGGCAGCTTAAATAACTCCATTTTATCTTCACAATGACGCCACCGTGAGGTAGGTTGGACAGAGAGTCTGTGACTGGCCCAAAGTCACCCGGTGAGCTTCATAGCTGAGCAAGGACTAGCACCGGGATCTCCCAGCTCCCCAGTCCAGCACTCTGACCAGCATGCCAGCTCTCAATTAGTCAGAGTATAAATTCTTGAGACTTATCATAGAACCCTGGAAGATGGGTATGAAAGGCTACAAACCTGTAATGCTTGCTTTCAACAGCAGAGTTTGGACATGAAGTTCCCTCACCTTCATGTCTTGCTCTGTCGCTTCCAGAGGCATCTGTGGGCTGCTTTCTGGGATGCTACGGTAGTGGACAACCAGCACGGGCAGGGTTGGGCTAGACCCAGCTCAATGTCTGCGCTTGATCAGGGGCGTTAAATGCATGACCCATGGGCTAGTTTTGGCCTGCCTGGGGCCCCAGTCTAGACTTCTGCCAGTAGAGGCTGATGGCTCCAATGTCACTGGGACGGTGTATCCATGCTAGACTTTCCGCAGAACTTTAAGGAGCTGTCCATGGTGCTGAATAAACCACCGAGCTTTATTCAGCACCATGGACAGACCCACTAAAGTTTAGGTTGAGCCCCGTGTGTGGAGGCCACCATGCAAATATTGGTGAGACCAGCTCCTGCTGCCATTGGAGTTGCAGATGGCCACATCCCTCCCCTGCTCCCAAGCAGACAATATTCGATGGTTTTCCATCTTTTTCACGGTCGCTTCTCTAATCCCATACTATTCTGCAAGACCAAAAGGGCTCCAGGGTAAAATGCACTTGTTTTTTTGTTCTTTGGCCCTGTGTACCACTGGAATCTGGCCCCTGAGAGCTTCTCTGAAATTGAAATCTGAGGCTGAAAGAGGCTCAGCATGCTGGCTATAGAGAGATCCGAGATGGCAGTTCTTATGCTCTCTCAGCAGATGGTCTGAAGATGGATCCTTGGAAGGTCTGCATATCCCTTGGACATTCTGGATTTTGCAGGTCTGAAGAGATCGTCTCACCAAAGGTCCTCCCAGTATTTCAGATGAACTCTTTTGAGAAATGGACACCTACTTCCAGGCAGGAAATTAGTAAAGAGAATATTTCTGAAGCTACTGAGAATTAAATATGAACTGGAACTTATTTTTCTCTAGAATCAACTTTTCATCCTATTTCTGCCTGGGATTTGAATCCCAAGACACTTCAAATAGTTGTGAAAAATTATTTCAAACTACTGTTTGAAACTGAATCTACTCAACTCATCCTCTGATTCTGGCCACCCTACCGTGGCTTGAAATGATGTGGAAGCTGTGCTTAGATGAAGAGAACTGAGAGGCTGAATTCATTTCCACTTAAACTACTTCCAGGCAAAGTGTTCAAAATGTGTGAAACACGTTTTGAGTAACCTGTATATGGAAGAACAGAAATGTTATTTCCTTGCTATGCAATATGTGAAGCTGCATGCAAAAGAGGACGAAAACTACTTTTTTTTTTTTTAATGAAAAGTGACCAGAAGGAGTTCTGCATTTCATAAGAGCACCTATCAAGATGGGAAAATGTAGGAGGAAGGTTCAAGTTTCTCTGTGCAGTACAGAGTATGCAATTTTTTTTACACTTGATAAAATTAACAGCTATCAGTCCATACCTGCCTCCATGCACTCCCGTGCAGGTTAACTTTTTCGTGGTCTTTGGGCCAACCAAGAAGTTAAAAATGTCTTTAGCAACAGGGGAAGTTGAGCCCAGTTATCTCTGGGGTTGCAGAAGGCAGGAATGGGATGGTTTTCCTTCTCCGCTGCAGGTGCTGATGAAAACCAGTCCCAGAAGCAAAGCTCCCAGTAGAACCTTCCTTTCTGGAGCTAACGACGTGCACACTCCATGTGCATGTGGAAAAGAGAGAACGTGTGCACAAGAGAGAGCTATTCTTCATTGGGACTATGACCGGGGGGGGGGGGTAAATCATCCCTGCCTCGATGGCTATAAATTTATTTCACATAGTGCCTAGTTTGGCCCTCAACAGTGTCTCTGCTTTATTTAAAAGCTGGCCGGCTGCCGGTTATTTTCTGTTTCTTTTCCCATTGCAATAAATGTCAAGTCATTCGACCACAGTTGTCTTATTAAAGTTATGGGCTCTGTCCAAATCAGAGAGACAAGAGGCATAGTTTGCCACAGGGGCATTGCCAGGGGTGGGGAGAAAGGCAGGTGGAAATCGTGCTATTTCAGTCCAAACAGCTTGCGTCCGGAAAGGGGTGCTGCCCCTCTTTCAATCCAAGGGCGGAATTCCCCTTGAAGACTCTCCAGCAGCTGCATCCCGGTGGCGAGGAGAGCCAAACAGCCAGCCTACTCTGGCTTGAAGCTCTTAGGAGAGGCATTTCGGATTTTAGGACAGATAAAAGCCTGCACAAAAGCTGGGAAACTTTTTTGATCACTGGTTGGGAGGGTAAGCATCTGGTCCTCTTGGAAATATTAGGGGAGGAGGGCTAGACTGAGACCCCAAGTGGCCCAGGGACTTTGCAATTCTGCTGCACGATGCCTTCCTGGAAAAGAATCGGAATGGGCCCCGATGAGAAATGACCTTCCAGTGATTGTTGAGGGTTGGAGCTGGATCTGACCGATGAAGCTAGATCCAAGAGCTGCCTTCTGTGAGCAGACAAGCTCTGGCATGGAAGGTGAGACTGCATAGCCTTCAGGGATCCCGCCTCTCCCCACACCAGAGCTCACCGTCCTGGGTACCATTTTGAAGGGCCTGCCAAGGGAGGACGGCTTTGCGGAGGGTCCGGATCCATCAGCCCAGTTGCACTAAACACAATCTGGAACCAATCTCAGTTGTGCTCAAGGAAAGAATGGGGTGGGTAGCTGGGGGTGATGGGAGTTGCAGTCCAGCACAGATGGAGGGTGCTAGATGGGGGAACAGCTGAAACAGAGGTGTTAGGCATGACACTGTCCTTAATGTGAGAGCCAGTGTGGTGCAGTGGTTAGAGTTGGTCTGGAGGCCCAGGAGATCTGGGTGACTCTGGATCAGTTATTGACCTCAGCCCAACCTATCTCACAGGGTTGTTGTTTTGATAAAATGGAGCTATGTAACCTGCCTTGGGTCCCTCACAAAAGGAAAAAAAAGTATTATAATGATAATGTGGGCAGCCAGTTCCCACACAGCACTGGGAGTGCCACAAGGACGACTTTAGCCAGGCAAATGGTGGAATTAGTCAGCGAGAAATACCCAGTTCCTTTTTTCAGAGAGCTTTACCCACGGCAGCATAAGGAAATGGCTCATGGGGGACGCACTGAGTGTATAAACTGGATCCCAGAGAGGAGCTAAAATGCAAAGACCCGCATTGACAGTGCGTCTCTGTGAGAGCTCTACCTCGTAACATGACAGGTTGGTTTGACTGAACTCCTCTATTCATTTTGCTCCAGGAAGAAGCAGGCTGCTATCTAGGACCGCAGAGCCTGGGGGCACTGGCTTGGGGCATCACTTGGTCCAGTCCCCCACACAGAGGGAAACAGGGAGAGATGCAGCCCTGTTCAGACAGACCCTGCACAAGTCAGTGTGAGTCCCAGGAGAGCTGCCAGGGCTGTGTCTGTGGACACTTGTGCCAGGGCTACCATGGCGGAAGAAAGGGTTGCCTTTCCTCTCCCTGCATGCCGTAACCACCGGGACACCATCTCTTCCCGAATGGAAACCAAGGGTGGTTTTTTGAGTTTTGGTTTTGTTGTTTTGGGGGAAGCCATTTTCCACTGCTTTGGGATGAGCTGTGTGAGGGTGCACAATAACTGGAAAAAAATAGTTTATTGAAATTATTTGGATGAGAGATAGTCTGGCTTCGCTTCCTGAGAAATCTTAAATTCGGTATACTCACATAGGCACATCTGGGCCTTAGCCCTGGATCACAAGACTGGGGGTCCACAGGAACACCCCTGCTGAATCTCTTGCATAACCCTCTCCAGAGGGCCCTAATGCTGCTGACTTTTGCTCCTTAGGAACCCCTGAAAGATCTAACATGGTCCTTTAGGCATCAAGAAAGGAAAAGGCAGTAACAGGAATGAAAGGTGAGAAAAAGCAGGAATAGTATACAACCAAAAAGGCAGGAATACGCACTAAATATGGAGGGCAGCAAGAGGTGGAGCTGGATGGTGAGTGAAATCCGACCAGGTAACCAGGGAGCCAGAAGGGCAGTGGATCTCCACCCCCAAAGGGGTGCCCCCGTTCAGAGCGCCAGACAGCCTGCAAGAGGAGTCACTTAGCCTTGAAAGATGTCCTATTTCTGTGCATGACCACACCTGGTTCCAAATAAAAACCTGCAGATGCTCCATCCAAGAACTTCCCAAGAACTAATACCTCAAAGTGCAAAGCAGGACTGCAACTGAACATTCAGAAAACAAAAATCACAACTGCAAAAGAATCACACCACTTTGAGGTCAACAATGAAGCCGCGAGCTTGTGAAGGATTTTGCATCCCTTGGCTCACTCAGCAATCAAAGGGAGGCTGGGCCTAGAAATTGGAAGAAGTCTGAAGCTTCTTCAGGAAGGGCAGCAAGGAAGGAACTAGAAAAGATCGCCAAGTGTAAGGAGATTTAAAGCTCAGGATTCCCCTACCCTTTGTATTCCCAGTCACAATCTATGTGTGTGAAAGCTGAGTGTGAACAGGAAGAAAATGTGTTAAAAAGAGAGCCAGTGTGGTGTAGTGGTTAAGGGCATGGGACCGGGACTCGGACAATCTGGGTTCCAGTCTCCGCTCAGCCATGGAGCCAACTGGGTGACTTTGGGCCAGTGGCAGACTCTCAGCCCAACCTACCTCACAGGGTTGTTGTTGTGGGGATAAGATGGAGGAGGAGATGCAAGCTGCCTTGAGCCCTTTGTAGGAAAAAGGCAGGATATAAATCGGAAAATAAATAAATAAGGTGCTGGAGAGGAGCTTTGCAAATACCTAGACCAACAGAATGACAAACAAGTCGGTCCTAGATCAAATCACATCAGAGCTTTCCCTATGAGCAAAAATGACACAACTGAAGCTGTCATACTTCAGGCAGATCATGAGAAGGCAAGGCCCACAGGAGAAGGCAGCCATGCTGGGGAAGGTTGAAAGCAGCAGCAGATGACCACCTATAAGACGGGTTGACTCCATAAAGGAAGCGACAGCCTCAAGTTGCCAAGGGCTGCCAGGACAGGTCGCTTGGGAGGGTACTCATTAATAGGGTCACCCTTAGTCAGACTGGGCAAGCAGCAAAGCCAATCTGGCCCAAGGCTCTGAGTATTTGCCTCCTCAGGAGGAAAGCTCTCAGGCCTCCAGCTCTCAGAGCTCTCTCGCTCTCAGAGTCTTGCGTCTGGGGCCTCTAGCCCTGGGGCTGCTGACAGTGCAGCTGCCCCTCAGGAGCCTGGTGAACTTGGGTTTGGGGCTCCTGGTGCCCAAGAGCTTTGCAGCTTCCCTGATGCGCAGCAAGTTGCAATTTGTAACGGAAGTTTGTCCTGTGCACAAAGTAGTGTCGTTTTCTCTTCTCTGTTTTCTCCCTGCAGCCCATTTTCTGGGTAAAGCAAATATAATATACCCTCCCCAAAACAGGTAAAAACAGAAATGTTTGGGGGAAGGAAAACATCTTAGTAAATGTAGAAAAATACAGAAAGGAAAAACTGGCTTGAGCACTTACAAAACTTTAGTAATGTCTTTATTATGGCAAAAGCTTTCAAGGATTAAAAGAGCAGCAGGCGACCTCTTTGCCAGGGCTACGTTGCCTCTTTGGAGCAAGGCAGATGGCTGGAGGATGCCAAGGGAGTGGGGGCCCTGTCCCACAGCCCCCGTCTTTTCCTTCCTCTGTGCAGAGGCCCCACTGTGCTCTCTGCAGATAAAGGGACTCCTCCCTTTAACTGCTTGCATAGCTTGGCTCCTGCAAATGCTGGATAAAACGGGCCTCCTTCCCATGCTGTCTGCACACCAAGCTGCAACCCTACACCAATCTACCCGGGAGTAAGCCCCACTGAACTCAAGGGAGTTTACTTCTGAGTAGAGGAGCATGCCGCTAACAGTCATTAAACTTGCAATCCTACCTACTAAAGAAATCCCACTGAGCATGCTAGAACTTACTTCAGTGTAAGAGCACTGAAGTTGCAGCCTGCCTCAATGCGTTCCTGGGCGCCTCACTCCCAGAGGCACCTTTTCAACACAGAGAAGCTCGCCAACGTTCCTGACTATGAAAACAGTGATGGTGTCACAAAACAAGTTGCACAGCAGCAAGTTCATTTTTGCCCAGAGTAATGGTATAGCTGTAAAAGGGTGCATCTGAGCATGAGCAGAATGCATTTTCATCTTTATTAGCTAACTCTCACTACCCTGGTTTGAAAGAGGTTTCCAGGTAGATGTTCAGCCTATGTGGTTTTCCTGGTGCCCTCCAGAGCTGATGAAGCAGTGCCAAAAAAGTAGTGATCGGTTCCCCGTCAGCATTTTCCAAACTCGTCCCTTGCCCATTTCGCCCTGGATTGCACTTTCACTCCCACTGAAGGGGCACGGGTAAAAAACACCCTCCTTCAACTTTCTAAGGCTGTCTGCTTTCTTTTTCCTGGGAGGGCTGTTCTGGATCTCTTGCAGAGAGGCAGACTTTCAGCCTGTGAAGATCTCCCTAGAAATGCAACCTCGCACAGATGTGGGGAGGAAGTTACACTGTTGAATTTGCTCACTGTGCACCAGTTGGGGGAGGGAGAAGAACGGTACAGCAATAGGTTCTCAGCTTTCCCTACCTAAGACCCTTGCTGGGACCAGTCTTTAGTGGCAGGCCTTCCACCTCGGAGTCGCTAGAAATAGCAAGAGAGCCCAGCTTCCTGGCAGAACAAGAAACTGGCAGAGCTGCTCTCAGCTGAATCATGTTGAAGCTGCTGTCCTCACTTGGGCACGAAGACTCTGCTTTCCAGCATTCACCCAACTTAACGTTCTGCACACTGGGTTGAAAACTGAAATAGACTTTGAAACGATTTAGTCAAGTATTATTTACGCACATGGTTACATAGGGAAGCAACTATTCACTTAACAAGTGGAAGCATATTCCTGCAGATTCTGTATGTAAGGGAAAGTATGAAGTTTAAAACAACGGGTTTCCCCACCTCTCAGACAACTATCTTAACATTCAACTTGGGAACTATAGTAAGTATAGAATATAATATTCCATGCTGCACACCTTCATTAGGCCCTCTCAAAGATTACAAAATGTGTGCAAATTTCCAAGCTTTATTTTTCTTCTGATCTTTCAGCTCACCTAATAAAGATATGTTGGTACACGGATCTTAAGATTTTTTGTATATACAGACTCTTTTTATAAGTTTTACAAACTCATCATAACCAAAGTTGGGTAAAAACATCAGTTCACAAACGCGCATAGCTGTGGCAGGGGCTGTGGACCAATTGAATGAATTGTGTCTGTTTTCAGTGAAGTAGCTGCAGTAGGGCAAGAGTATGGCTAAATCCTGCCCCTTCTGCCCTGCGCCAGTTGTTTCCGGGGTTTTGTCCAGTTTCTCCTACGTCATTACGATGCCTCTCCTACATTTCTTTCAGGAGAAGCTTAAGCTGACCCAAGCTAGTCCTGCTTGGATTTGGGCTCCCACTCTGGCTTTCAGCCCAGCCTCCACGAGTCACACACACCAAGGGCATCTTCAGAATAGAATTCAGCCCTCAGGACTTCAGATTGTCTCCAGCCTTGTGCTAGGGAAATTATTGGACATTTTAAGAAAAGAAGTATGAGCAGCTGAAGCAAAGGGGCCACCCCACCTCTCTGCAAACCTCTACCCACTTACCTAGGAGTTAAGTCCCATTGAACTCAACTGCACTTACTTCTGAGCAGACATGCATAGGGCTCCCCTTTTAAAAACCATGGGATTTAGAAACAATAGAAACTTCAGTGCCAAATTCCGTTTTGATCAATAGTTTATTCATTTGAGCTACTGAACATGGGAAGGGCGAGGTAATAAATTCTCCTCTCCAAACTGGGAGCATACAGATGTTTTGAGCTATAACTCACAGCATTTTTGACCATTGGCAATGCTGGCAGAGGTTTATGTGATTTGAAATCCAAAACACACGGAGGGCTTCAGGTTCAGGAGGATTTTATGCTGTTACTGCTTGGCAGATTTTGGCCAAAAAATCAGGATATAGCTAACTTCCCAGCTCATACCATAGAAACAAACAGCAGTGTAACAAAGATATCAAATTAGTAGGATTCAATCCTTAGTATATCCAGACAGAAAAAATATTGTATAACTCCCAGAATTCCCCAGCCAGTTGTAGGCCATTTTTTTTCTGCCTAAACCTGCATAGGATCACACCCTTCAAGAATGCAGGTATAAACTAGAGGAATACCTGATACTGTTTTCTTTCCTTTTAGGTTTGGACAGATGTTCCCAGGTCAGAGACAGACACCAGAAATACATTTTAAACAAACTTTATTGACTATCATAAGAAACTGGGATACAATAAATTTAAAGATTCAAGTCTACAGGGACAATAGATTAAGAATTAATAGGAATATGGGTAGAACAGTAGACAAGATATAAAAAAACCTGAACAATAAACAAATTAAAAAGAGAGAAAGCTTGAGGTTAATCTAATCCAGATAGAAATTCAGAATTCCCCCCACCCACCCCCCCACAAGATACTACCTCCTTCCAATTCAGGTGGCCAAGCTAAAGAGAAAGTACAATTCCGATCAAATTAATGCTATCTGGATCCGTCTAATAGGAGGAAAAGCCTTATTTTTGGTGCAGTTCACAGGCTACTCAGCCATAACATGCCTCAACCTGTATGGCCAATTCAATAGCGCGTGTCCATGTAAATGGAAAGAGTGCTTCAGTTAACGCCAACTTTCCTAGTACGAGTCTCCTACAAACAGGTATTTGTCCTTTAAGCTGTACATCATCTCTGATTCTGCACTTTGCGTTCAGCTTTGGCCAACTGAGTTTACCCTCTTATTATCTTTAAAGAAAGACAGAATTACAGAGTGCAATAGCAGGGTTACAGCAAGAAGTAATTGGCTGCTGTCAACAATTCCACCTTTGGTGGCAGCATGAAATAATTTAAATGGCAGGAGTTAACGCTTAACATTTCTGATTCAGCTCCAGTTCAGCTTAAACGGTGGCTGAAATTATCCCGGCTGAGGCCAAAGGGTAAATGGTTTTGCACATCTGAACCAGTTCTGCTCCGGTTCCCACAGGAAAATTTAAATATTCACATTTAAATGATGATTTGCATAAGCAATGGAGTGATTAATATCCATGTAGTATTGTACCCTAATCTGAATACTAGATGGTTAGACATATATACTATCTAGAAAAGTCTACAAAATCCACAGGGAATTGAAACGTAACAAAGAGGAAATATGAAATTAACTCAGAGGAAGTGATACATCAATATTGCATTTTCTTACTTGAGGCTGAAGGAAATATAACATGATAGGAAAGCAAATGTTTTTTTTTTAATGCATCCAGTCTCTTGCACACCATACACCTCTATGTTATTCTTCGTATTATCATCCCTCAGCACTTGGGCATGGGAAAATTACCGTCTTCTGAACTGTCTGGGGGCTTTCAGGCCTATTGCCACAGAGAAAGCCTGTGAAGGAACTAACTTTCTAATAACCAGCGCCACGCAGGAATCTTTAACCGCAACTACAGTTTAAGCACGGCCTAGCAGGGAAAGGTTTCAGTGGTACCTTCTAGCAGTTAGAGGCTGACTAAGGACGAAAGCAGCACGGTGCAACCCTGCAGCACACGGAAGCTGGGTTAGTTCTCCTTCCTCATCCGCTGCTTATCTTCAGTCTGTGGCCTGCAAGTGGGCAAGCTTGCAGTAGATGAAGAGGTGAGAAAGAGCCTCTTTCCTCAGACAGGGAACGTGCAGGCCCCTGGGCAAGGCACCCCGTAGTGAGCGTCCCCCTCATTCTGCTAAATGTACCAGGTGTACCCACAGAACCACCCCAGAAGTTGCTCTGTACCAGTTGGTACTCGGAGGTTTTCAAATCGTGTTCTAAGCTCAGTTCCAGTCTGGGAAAACCATATGCTGGATTTAGTTTAATTCCCCTTACTCACATTCCAGTAGACACAGCAGGATATACAGACTGGTCTACACATCATGATAAGCTACCGTTTTAAAAATGTTGCCCTGTACCTACTAGAAGACGAGGCAAAGTGCCGCTGGTGCACCTTCCATGCGTGGTCTGTTTGCCATTATGTGCGCACCGAGAAACCTGGGGAGTCTCTTCCCCGACAAATCGAAGTCATAACGAAAGCCCTGCAGTTGCCCACGCTCACTGCCGCGTCCTCTGAAACTCACATCAAAGAAAAGGTCATGATGGGCCATTATTACATCAAGCTATGATTGCTCTTTCACACCATGTGACAAAAGCGCGATTCCACAAGAGGCAGGTGCTTTTTCAAACTGAACACCCCTTTGCGAGTTCCCAGAACACAGCTGTGAGTCTCGCTCCATTACCCCACCCTGGTATCGTGCTCCTGGAGACTGCTTTCTGTCAGGCGCGATACTAACAGACCTTCACATGATCGGCAGCCAGCTGGCTGTGGTGAGCGAGCATCGACACACTGTAGTGGCAGCTGAACACAGGAGGAGTATAACCTTCTTGTCCACACCAATGTAATAGAGACAATCACAGACAGTCACACAGACAGACAGACACCTGGTAAAACCTTTGCTCATGGGCAGTTTTGCTCAGGTCATTCCTATGCCAATACTTTTGGGCCATTTTGGGTCCTTCCCCTCACACAGGCAACCCCTTTTTGCTTGATTTGCACTGACCTTTCTTATAGCCTGCCACAGCCTTGCAAATAGGACCACACACATCACTAGCCTGCAGAGAGAACATGTCTGGCATGCCACCAGCTGGCCAAGGGGGGCAGAGAGCTCCAGCCCCCTCCAGTGCCCACTGGGTTTCCATACAGGGATGCAGAGGGGGGCCGGAGCGCCCTGCCCCGCCTCCAGCATGGCTGTGTGCTCATTTCCGCACAATGCTTGGTCACCTGTGGCTTCACATCCAGGGATGGGCAACCTGTGTCCCTCCAGAGGTTTTGCCCAACTGCTGCCATGACGACTTATGACTGGGGATACTGGCCAAAGCTTCAGGGAAGTGGCAGGCCAAAACTTCTGCAGAGCCACAAGTTGCCTCCTCTGGCATAAGGCAAGATACTGGCTGACAAATACATCATGATCAACTTGCTAACTGCTTCCAAACTGACAGTGCAACCCCCGATGTGCCTACTCAGAAGCAAGCCCCCAAAGTGTTCAGTGGAACTTACTCCATGATAAACTGCAGCCTAAACGAGAAGTCACCCATTGGCAGACAACTGAGTTATCACAGTGAGAGACAAGATTGCAAGAAAGATACAGAGCTGCAAGGGAAAGGGATCAGCAGAGGACTACTGGGGAGAGAAGTTTTTATAAGCAGACTAAATTTTCTGTGCCAGACTAGTTTTTATGTTTTGCCTATCTGGATTGAGATTTCTTGGAAAAGAATATTGCATTGCACCTTCAGACAGAAACAAGAGGGCATGTTTCCTCGCTGCACAGGTGCAAAGAGAAGCCACCACAGGTCCTAAGCACAGGCCTGTTCTCCCTGTTCAGAGCTGTACACCTGCACATCTGAACAGCCACAGTGCCGAGGCATCGGGGAGAATGGGAGGCCTAGATGCCCCGGCCCACTCCACCCACGCCTTCCCCTCCCTACCCTCTCCAAGAACACACACCCTCATGCAGAGCCAAGGTAGCCAGAAAGCAGACCCAGATGTTCTGTCCTTCAGCTCCTGGCATTCCTGATTCGTTGGCCGTGTTGGCAGGAGCTTCTGGGAGTCAGAGCCCTGAATATCTGAGGATCCTCCCACTGCCCAGCCCTGTGGTACAGGAGTCAGGCTGGAGAGGGAGAACGCACATGCCTTCCCTGCTCCGTAACAGCCTGGCATGGCACCTCCCTAGGTGCCCAGATGCTCATCCTGGGAAAAGATGGGGAGAAAACGAGGCTCTGTTACATCCTGTGGAAATTCTTCTCCATGTATGCACTCAACCCTACAGGGAAAGCTCATGCCTTATAAATTAAATTAAATAATTTCTATTAATGACTTAAAGCTCCAAACTACTCAACTAAAATACTTTTATTTTATTGATTGCAATCTGCTAGAAGATGACAAACAGCAGATAGTTACTGTGCTTATGAGAAGAGAATCTACAGCCATGTCTAAAGCAAACTGTTTTAAGAGCCGTGACCTTCCCCAGCAGGAGCAGAGAAAAGCCCTGGTTATTTTCTATGGATCTCTTGTGTACAACAATGGGGGGAAACGTAACACAAAATAAGTATTTCACCAAGAAAAGTCTATTACAACAAGCAACCGTTTTTCTTGCTCCTTTCACCCTTCAAGTTGATTTTTCTTAGAAATGTACCCCCACCATCCCATTTTTTATACTTCACACCTGCTCAAAAAACAAAGAAATCTAGAAATCTCTCATCAAGAATTCCCAGCACCCCCATCAAACTATATTTGGTGGGATTCCTTTGGGGAAGCAATGAGGACGACACAGTTTTTTAATGGCTTTTAATTTAGATATGGCTGGTGGGACTGTGCCACGAACATGGATGCCTTATTGTTCCTCATGGCGACACAAACCTTCTCATAGATGCACAATGTGAAAGGCAGCTCAGAGACTCCGTCAGTTAGTCCGCACAAGGCTTATCCAAGCCTCCGTTTTAAAACTTCCTATAAGCGCCTGATTAAAGTGAAAGGATTCTCTGGTACTCCTAACCCTCTGCTGCTGGAAAGAGGTGTTTTGCAACCAGCTCACTTGACTCTCGACTCCTACATTATCAAGAATCAAGAAGGACACTCCATTTTTATCTCACCCACATGAGTAACTTGAGTTCCTTCGCTGACAAACTGAGCAGAGTTGGTGAGGCCGGCCAGGGGCGTGGCGTCACTGCTCTGCTTGTGAGCGGGGGACGCCTTCTCGTCTTGGCTCCAGACAGATCCCGGCGTTGGGGACCAGGCCGTCGTTACAGGCGAGGCATTGGTCTCTGACAGGGCAGCCCCGAGGCTCCCATCCTTGACGTGCACTCTCTGGTGGGACACGAGGCGTGAGCTGCGAGCAAAGCACTTCCCGCAGTCGGCGCACGTGTAGGGCTTCTCTCCGGTATGGATCCTCTGGTGAGTGACAAGGTCGGCGTTGATCCGAAAGCTCTTTCCACAGATGTGGCATTCGTAAGGCTTCTCGCCTGTGTGGATCCTCTGGTGCTTGATAAGGTCCGAGCTGTAGCTGAAGCTCTTCCCGCAGATGCCGCAGGGGTAGGGCCTCTCCCCCGTGTGGACCCTCTGATGGCAGATCAAGTGTGAGCTCCGCTTGAAGCCTTTCCCGCAATCGGGGCATTCGTAAGGCTTTTCCCCAGTGTGGTTCCTCTGATGGGTCACAAGGTCATAGTTGACCCGGAAGCTCTTGCCGCAGATGGAGCACTCGTAAGGTTTCTCCCCAGTGTGGACCCTCTGATGCCTGATGAGATGCGAACAATCACGGAACCGCTTCCCACAGATCCCACAGGGGTAGGGCCTTTCCCCAGTGTGAACCCTCTGGTGGGAGATCAGGTGCGAGCTCCGGGTGAAGCTCTTCCCACAGTCGGAACAGATGTAGGGCTTCTCGCCTGTGTGGCTCCTTTGGTGGTTGACCAGGTCGTAGTTGGAGCGGAAGCTCTTCTCACAGATGATGCACTCGTAAGGCTTCTCCCCGGTGTGGACTCTCCGATGAGACATGAGCTGGGAGCTCTGGGAGAAGCCCTTGCCACACTCCAGACAGATGTAGGGCTTCTCTCCCGTGTGGACTTTCTGATGAGCGACCAGGTCAGAGCTGAAAAGGAAGTTCCTCCCACATTCCAGGCAAGAAAAGGGCTTCTCGTCCGTGTGGGTCTGCATGTGCTCCACTAAATCCACTTCCTGGCTGCAGCCCTTTCCACAGACTGGGCATGTGTGGCGCTTCTCCTCCTTGTGGACTTTCTGGTGCTCAACGAGGCCGGAGCTTCCGTTGAAGCACTCTCCACAAACGGGACAGATATACTGTGTCTGTGGCAGAAACGTGCCTGCACTTTCGCTCCCTGGAGAGCCTCCGTTGACAGTGAGGGGATCGCTCTCTGCTTTTTGGGTGGCGCTGCTGGGCTCAGCCTCCGGGCCAGCCTCACTCATCTCGTCTCCTTCTGGTTCAAGGCCTGCGGAAGCGTGCCCCTGACAACTCTCGGACGACAGCTCACGCGTCTCTGCTGGTTTAGGCTCTCCCTGCTGAGAAGTACCTTCTTCCTCATTCACCATCGTATTCCTTACTGGACAAAAAAAAAAAGAATCCACACTGGAATTAGAAATATTGCTATATATTTGCACTGAGGTTTAAACTGCTCACTAAATAATCCTAGCAACCATGTAAGATAGTTGATGATTGATATCCTGATACTGCGGAGACAGTGGGGAAAGGCTGAGAGAACAATACCCTGAGGGGGAGTTTGCCGCAGTGGCTGCTGGTCTTGCTGGCCGTGTGCTGCCTCCTGGACCAGGGGTGGCAGGCCCACACACGCCGGTTGCTGGGGAGCTGGGGCAGGAGGAGGTCTTGCCCCCATCCTGCTCAAGGGATCCTGCGGGCGGCTGGCTTGCCACCCTGTCTGTGGAGTGCTGGACTGGCTGCACCTGCATGGCTTTTGTTACGTTCTTTCTTGAAATTGAAGCCACACTTTTCCAGATCTGAAGTTCAGCTGCTATGCTATACCAGTAATTAGTTCTGGGCTGAGAGAAAGAAGTGGCACTTACAAAACAGGACTGATGTAATGTTATATTCTTCACTAATGAACTGGCCATATTAGTTTGTTACTGCAAAAATAAGGACTTCTGTGACACATTAAAGATTAGTAGATTTTTATCAAGAACTGGCATGTATACACAGGGAGGGAGGGAGGGAAGTGAGTAGTGCTGTCTGAACAGTTCTGTGTAAATTTAAGATAAGCAAATTGAGCATTCACAACAGCAGAAATTAGCAATTTCTCCATTGACCCAATCTTGCCTTGATAATTAACAACTGTACTGGGGCACTAAACCACTGTGTCTACTCAAGTCTAAAATTAGCATAATCAAACCTTGATTAGCTGTAATGTAGCAAGTTCATGCTGGAATCACCCTTTGAATTCCCTTTGTTGGCAAAAGGCAACAAAGGCTGATTCTCTTCAGAACCAGTGGGTTTCCATCCAGCTCTATGTTTCAGAGCTCATCCCATGGATCTCAGACACTTCCATGCATCCAGTGCCCAGCTAGACAAAAGGAGCATTGTTTTGTCCCCCTCCATTTTTTAAAAATAATTCCCTCCCCACTAGATGCGTTTCTGAACCCATCTAGAGGAAGCTGGGCCAGTGCTGAAGAGCCCATAGGAGTCCTTGTATTTAGGCCTCGCCTCTCCCCTCCCCTCCCCTC